GACAATGACTTTGGTATTGATAATGATGGTGCTGGTGATGATTATGAAAATGACTCTGAAGATGAAAAAGACGACGATTATGATGATGCTGCTGACGATGATGAGGATGAGGATGATGCTGGTGGCGATACTGATGGTGACGCTGACGATGATTTTGATGGGGACACCGTGATGATAGCGGTAACGGCCGGCGGCGCTGATGATAGTGTGGGGTTACGTACAAAGTCCCTTCTACTCTATGGTTCAATTACCCCCGCATCTTCTGTGACCTCTTGAGTGCATACAGGACAACAGCCCAAGGCCCATCTGAGGTTTTGGCGAAGCGCAGGCAAGGCCTCTACATCGACGCCACCCTGCTGCCTTAGCACTTTGAGCGTGCGTGCGAAAGCATTCAGCTCAGAATACTGTAACAAAGCCAGGAACGCAGAGTTGCACAACTCGAAGACCGCTTGGCGAGATAATGCTTGTGCATGGTGACAATGTCACGCACAACCAAACTCAAGCAAGCTAGAAAAACGAGGGTACTTCTACAACCTATATAGCCCTGAGACACCACTATCTTGTCGACTTCGGCTGGCGATAAAGGGTCGGGTAGATGGCTCACTCTGACGGGGGTCGACAAATGAACAGAGATGCCTGATTCAAGGCGACAGGGGGCGAGAGAGTGACAATACGAGAAAAATAGTGAAGACATCGAGGCAAATGAGCGGGACCAGCGAAGCGGCTGCGGCAAATGCATGTTTCTGCCTCCACCGACAGCAGCTATACGACATTATGCTGTCCCTTGCGGCTGCGACCGCCTGGGGCCAGGGGTCGCCTGCGCTCTTCCTCATGCTCGCAACAAGTGCCGGCTGAGCTTTTTGCGTGGCAGGGCATTGCAGTTGCATCCTTTTTCCTTGTTCAAGGCGAATCCAAGGCGGTAATGACATTCCACAAAAAAGAGGCGCGATGGCAGTCTGACCGCAAAGGCCCACGAAGCAAAGCAAAAGGCTATCGAGCCTCTGCCTGAGAAAACACGAGACGTCATGGACCACCCTGTTCTTGCCAAATCGCCACTTGTGCAGCACTTTCTATGGATGGACCTTGATCTTTTGCCAAGCTCTTATGCCCGAGGTGGCGGAAGAAAATAGGATTTAGTGCTTCGGAGTCTCGGACATGCCACGCGAGGCTCTTGGTGCTTGGTCGCTTGGAAGTACTTATGATTATGGTTTCGACTCGCACACTCGCAGAGGCAGGCCGGAATTCAGGCGAAAGGTCCAACTACAAGTAGGAGGGTTTCGGCATTTAGGGTTTCTAGAAGAGGCTGGCTACCGGTGCTTTGATAGATTCTGCGGCCCGTTAGTGGCATACACCTCGAAACCTCACCCGGGTGCCTGCAGTAGGGAGCTATCTTGTAATTATTTTCATTCTGCGTTCTTTTTGTTAGTAGTGCTATTACGATTGACAAATCATTTGTTGGCGATTATTTGCTATTAATATTATGTAGTCAAAGCAAGCTTGAAGTCACCTGACGGGCAGCTGCAAAAGCCTGCCTTCCGACTGAAAGGAAAGGGTCTTCTTGCACGGAAGGATATGGGACAGGCGGGTAAGGGTCTTGCTCATCGCTCGTACTGATTACATGCAAGCCAAGTACAGGCTCGAAATCCGAAAAATTGAACCTGCAGGGTGCTTGGCATCCAAGATCCGTCCTTTGTGTGCTGCTGTCTGCACTGTGAGACTGCCACTTTTCAGCAAAATCAGTGAATCGCCTCGGTCAGTTCCCAACGACTGGATGATAAATCGCAGCAGCAACAGCAGCAGAGAACATGATAAAACATCCCGTCTCACGACCTGCCCTGCACCATCAAGCTCGATAATACCCCGGACCCACATCGAAGGTTTGTCGTCAGGGCATGCGCGCACAGCACGCATGCATGCACACAGCCGCTCCGTCTCTCTCTGCTCACTACCGCCTCAAGACTTGCCAGTAACTATAACAGCAAAGTGAATGTGAGCCACCTACCCTCGGAAGAATGCAGCGGTGCATGCGATTCATCTTGTTCTTCTAGATCGTCACATGCGGACGGTTTTCGCAGACCCCGACGTCATGTCACTTCGGGATTTCGAAGTTGCAGTCACGCAGCTGTCTGAATTGAACGCACCGTTCTTCTTTCCGAGATGCCTTGTGTAATCCGGGCAGCCAGCAGGCAGTGCCCGAACGTGCAAGCAAAGTCCCCTCGACACGCGCCTGCCCACGGGCTTCACAACTGCACTGATCACCCCGCGGCCATCAGAGGCGGCCTGCCAGTCGCTGGAAACCCTTGATGAATTGGGGTTTCCTGGGCTGTTGTGAGGGAGTTTAAGTAAGTGCATGTAATTTGGGTTGCCATAATAGGGACCTACAATGAAAACTATGACCATGGTTTCCTTGCTATGAAAACATAGACTTAAACTGTGGCAAACTGAAGGCTTGGGGTTCCGACGCGCTCGAAGCACCAGGCCAGCTTCCGACCACCATAGTATAGAGGCCTTCTTATAATAATTAGAATCGGCTTCTGGAGTCTGTTTTTCTATATTTACAACAAGGAACCCCTAAGATGGTAGTGGTAATTATCCAGGCCCGTATAGTACCATAACACACCAAAGCCAAACCCATGAATAAATACGGCAACTAACAAACCAAAGCCAAGTACCAATCACCAATCAAACAGTCCCCAGAAACAGCTGCTAAACCCAAACCATGAAACTATCGGGACTTAGAATTGCTGTGACAACGACTGCGAGTGGCCTGAGTCTGAGCAAGCCGTCTTGCACACAGGACGTGAAGCTGCCTCTACTCCACTGCTTGCACTCGTGGGTCAATGAAGGGTTTTAGGATGGGCTGTGTGCACAACCGAAGCCAAGTAGATCCAGGGCTGAAGGCTGCTTAAAAGTCCAAAGCTGTCGCCAGCAGCCGTCTCGATCCAAAGGCTTTGGGCTTACGGCTTGAAGAAAGTCCGAGACTGCCCCTTCGCTCAGCCCTGTTTTGCGGCCTTACTTGCAGCAGCCTCCCTGCTGCACAGGGCGGCCGGCGCCCAGAGTGGTGCTGCCTGCCCCTGCCTTGGCCTGGCAGCCAAAAAGAGCTTACGGGGTAGGGTTTAATTTAGTGTTCAACAGTGCAGCGGCTGATGCAAAGGGCATCTGCCCGCGCCCTGCTTCAGCTTCTTGCTGGTTGTTTACTCCTCACACAGCTCACCGAACCGGAAGCTTCGAAAGTGCTCAAAGCATGAGAACCATCAGTATGGGGATTGTAGTTGAGCTGGAGATTGTCTTTTTTGAAAGCTCTTTTGCGCTTGCACGAAGTTCGGCCTACGCAAGCCTTATTTAAGGCGAGCCGATTCAGCCCCCTTTCACAACTCGAGCTGGAGTTTCGGGTTTAGGGTTCATATACGTGCGTATGTGTCCCAAACTCTGCAACGCAGAATCCCTCCCGATGCACCCGTGTGCTTCCGCTGATGATTGACAGCTCGGTCAAGCCGCAGGTCAGGCCTAGAATCCCAAGAGAAGCCCTCAGCCCAGTGCCAATAAAGCACTCCAATCCCGGACCCTCAGACCCGAAACCCCAAGGCAGAGTTTGCCTGCGGTTGCGAGGCAACCCGCTGCTTAATTTCGCGAGCCATGGTCTGGAAAGCCTTGCGCTTGGGTGCACAGGTCCACACGCACAGGAACAAGTCCAAAATCAAACAAACGAGTATCTACGGGAATGATGTAATACATGCGTATGTGGAAGGCTTTTCACGCCCCTGTACGTGTTCACATGCATAACACACACACACACACACACACACACACACACACACACACACACACACACACACACACACACACACACACACACACACACACACACACACACACGCACACACACGCACACACACGCACACACACGCACACACACACACACACACACACCCACGGACGGACGGACGGACGGACGGGGAGGCACGCCCATATTGTGTGCTGCAATCTCCATTCTTGAACTACGTGCAGGAACAGCCGCAGTAGCACAGAATAGAAACGACTGCATCTTATAGACACTGCTCTACCAAAAAAACATGCTTGTGCCGCATTCATGGATGGATGGATGGATGGATGGGTGGGTGGGTGGGTGGATGGATGGATGGGTGGATGGTGGATGAGTGGATTGGTGGATTGATGGATGGACATGTGCGCATGTACGTGTGCATGAGCATGTGTGTGTGTGTGTGTGTGTGAAATCCAGGCAGCTGTGCAAAATGGGAGGCTTCGCATCGTCCCTTCGCTGTCCATAAGTGGAGTGCTCTTGTAGCTCCTCCGCCGATGCCCAAGCGCCTCAACCCGCCGACCCGAAACTGGCCTGCTCAACGTTGTGGGCATTCTTCGCACTGGTCTCCATGAACCTCGGGCGAAGCCGCGGATCCCAACTTAAGGCTTTTCTGAATGCAGTCTCCCGATGCCTGTTCCGGTTGCTCCTAGCATATATAACTTATCCTTGGCCACAGGTTGGGATAATGGGCACATGCAAATGAACCATACGTGCTCTCTCGGTGCCAACCATTTAGCGACACAGCTCATGATAAGTGGCTGTAATAAGACGTCATTATCTTCGCCGGTTTTTTGCCCTCTGTTGTACAACTCACACAGCGCTGAAGCCAATATCCGGCATCCTGAACCCATGCAACCGGCGGAATTGAATTTAGTAATGCCAGTGCCTTTTTCGGAATGCCTGCAGCATGCTGCAGCCATGTCTGAGATGTGGCCTCTGGCCGGGTCTAGGAGTATGAGAACCACAGGGCCAGCTGAGGTGCTGGATGCCAAAAGAGTCGGCGAGCTCCTGGTGACGCGAGGGAAAGATAGGGAAAGTTGCTTGTCAGGACTCCTAGGATTCCGTCGATGGGCATTTTCCTTAGACGTGGAGTGCCAGGACAGAAGCGATCCGAAGTAGACGAACATGGGAGCGACCCGAGTCTGTTCTCGCGCCCGGATTCTCAACACAGGCCCAGTCAGAAAATTCGTGAATCAATGGCACGATCTGTGTCCTTGGCCTCATCATAGGAGACCACCTTCTTAGAAGACAGGTCGCACTTATTACCTCAGTCAGGCGGAGAGACGTCGGATCAGCGGGAGGCAGCCGCGACGTTTATGAGGTTGGTCAACAGCTCAGACATGACATGGTCAAATAGGTCCGGATTCTCTTGTGGTCGAACTCTACCCAGCCACCCACCAAGAGCTTGTTCACACCGTCGGCCGCATACTTGTCGATCTCCTAGCACACAGAAACCGAAAATGGCCGAATCAACGATAAGGCAAGCTGCCTTTTCCTGCTCTGTCTGACATCTACACCGGGATTTCTTGCAAGCTGGATGTGGGCATGGCGGCACTACCCAATTTGGCTAAACGGGCGAAGCCGACCGCAAGCCTGGACCCAATGCTTGACGTTGTTGAAAGATTCCTTGTCTGTCACCTGGCAAAATCAAGGAACTCAGCCGTGAGCTGAGCTTTAGCAATCGCTGATTGACATCGACAAGCGCCCTTCTTTTCAGAGAGACCCTGGACACTGTGGAAAAGCACTGTGTACAACATTGGTGCTTGTGAAGCATGCATACATGATCACGCAGAGCTAGGATCTCTGTATGTGTGGCATCCCCTCAGCTTCCGGCGTCGTACACGACGATGATGCCATGAGCGCCTGAGCCGTGTAAGCCGTGGGGGCATGGGCATCAAAACCACCAGGCCATGCCACAAGATTATCAGCGATTTGAAGACTTCGGACTGTTACCGAAACAGGCCCAAACCCATACTCGAGAGCAGAAGCTGCTGCGAGTGTCCTACCTCTGTAGTAGCTGCTCGTGATCGTTCGGAATCGCTCCTGGCCGGCTGTGTCCCAAATCCTTGGCCATTCGATATGCGTGAAGAGCAGTAGTCGTAGTAGTAGTAGCAGCAGCAGCAGTAGTAGTAGCAGTAGTAGTAGTAGCAGTAGTAGCAGTAGTAGTAATAATAATAGTAGTGGTAGTGGTGGGAGGAGGAATAGTAATTAGTCGTCGTCATGCTAGAGGTGCTTGTGGTGGTGGTGGGGTGGCGTTGTCGAAATGGAAGCAGGAGCACTGGTGGTAGCAGCAGCAGCAGCAGTCGCAGTTCTGCTGCCACCACTACAAACCACAACACTCCTCTGCCTGACGACGACGTCTTCCACCAGCACGGTCACTGCCACAACTGCTTAAGTCTTAAGTCAACTCCCGCTACTTCTTCTGGCTTCCTGTGGCTCAACAGCTCAACTTCGGAAGCCAAGGTCGAATGCACTGTCATGGCCATCCACGTGGAACGTGCCGACGACTTCTAAACCGATGCCCAGCGGCTGCAGCTTGATGGTCTTGCCTTCCTGCTCCAGCGTGCGGATCTTGAAGTCCACTCCAATGGTGCTGATGTAGCTCTCCTGTTTTCTTGGGGGCTGGGAGCGACCGGATTCTGTGCGAGTTTTGTCTGCAAGCCTTTGAGCTTTGTACACATCTGGCTACCAGTGAATTCCAAAATCTCGCTCAGCACACTGAGCATGGAGGGGTCAAGATCACACAACTGTTGCATGGATTTCCGTCTCTATGTACACGCAACTATACACAGCGGTGGCATGTGTAGTGAACTGCTGGGCACACCGTGTAGGTGTCATCAGCGAAGCGGAGCAGGAGGCAAGACTTGCCGACACCTGGCTGCAAGTGGCGGAACCCCAGACTCCAGACTCCCAGACAGAAGCCGGCAACAAATTCGGCACAGAACAGGTCTACGTTTTGGAAGACCCAGTAGTTTGTCAATTTCAAGGGTTCAACTCCGAGCTGCTGATGAAAAGCTATGCTGAAAACTTCTGCGATCATTCCGGACAAGACGCAGGATGCAAATACGCATATTCCCCGAACATTTTGCGAGGGCACATGCAGCCCGAACACGCATTCAGAATCAAAAGACCAAACCCGCGATGTCAAAGCAAAGGATGCGTTTGCACCCAATGATTTTCGCGCTTTGTTGGTTCCTGTCCTGCCTGTATCGCATTTTTAGCAAGCTTCCAAAGCCGACACCTTCAAGTACAGCAACTGTCGCATGCATCACTCTAAATCACACATCGAGTCGCCTGAGTCGCCGATCAAGAGCAGCTTGAAGAGGTAGTCCTCAGCAAGCGGCTAGCACCAAGAATCTCACTTGCAGTTCTGTCACTTTCCCTGGCTGACATCATGCTTCCATCATCCTAAGCATCCTGGCTGAGGAAAGAGAAATGCAAACGTCTTGAACTGTCGCAACTGATTTACCTGCTCGCACTTGGGCAAGCCAGATGTCTAACCGATTTAGGATTTGTTATCGCATCGTTCCAGTTTCAGCAAGGCCAAAACGACAGCGGCGACTACACTTTGACTTGTCTAGGTACAAAGTGCACTCACTTTGACTGTCGGCGTGCAACGAACAAGCACCTATGTAGCCTATGTAAATGAACATGGATTGGGAAGCTGTGAATATGCCTCGAAATTGTGAGTACATATGTCTAGCTGTCGGTCTGCCTGCATGGCTGCCTGGCTGTCCGTCTGCATGTCTGGGTTTCCGTACGAGTTTCGGCATGTCTGCTACGATGATATATGTATGTACACACTGTCTGGTTCTTGAGCCCCAGGACCATAGAAGATCAGGTTCTAAATACTGACAGCCCCAACAACATTTAGAAACCTGGAACCAACGAAAACGAAAGGCTGAAACGTAACCCTCTAAAACCCCCGTACAACTTTAACCCTGAACCTTGATTTCTATACTAAACTCTTTAAACAGCCCTTAACCCTAAACCCTAAAAACCCTTCAAATCCTAAATACTCGATAGCATCACAGTTGCATACTCTGGGGTCGCCATCCTCGGGAAGAGCAGCTGCGAGTCGAGTCCTGGTCTTCTACAGCTATATATAGATAACTCTATATATATATATATATATATATATATAAATCTATATATATATATATATATATATAAATCTATATATATATATATATATATATATATATTTTTTTACAGATCTTACTTTATTTCTTTCCCCAATTTACGGTTTCGGCGCTCACACGCGGACAATCCAGGCGAGGCATGTGGCTCGAAGTCTGACAGGGGAGAGCATTCTAAGTAGGGACAGTCATGACGAGAAGAAGCAACAAGTCGTCTAACGAACACTAACGTGACTGTATCTGCGCTGACTGAATCCCGGTTTAGGGTTAAGGATCTTAAGTAAGGATAGTATGAGAGTGCCATTGCAGGGCCTGTAGATGGGTACCATAGTAGGATACTTCAGGGGCTTCGGTATACGCTTGCGAACATGCCCACCAAGGAGCACTAGTGTAGCCTGCCCGCTTGCTGCCTGCCTGCCTGCATACACACACATAAACAATTAAAAAAAGGAAAAAAAATATATATATATATATATATGATGTGTAGAGAGAGAGAGAGAGAGAGAGAGAGAGAGAGAGAGAGAGAGAGAGATAACCTTCTTGCAGACAGGCGGTTTCCGATTGCATGGAGGCACCCTCTACTGAGAGGTCAAACCGCAAGCGCAAAGGTTGCTGCGAGTTGCCGAAACCCTGAACCATCCTCGTTTTCGGGCTAGCGAGGTTTGTAAGCAGGAACACTGCCTAACAAGCTACCTGTAGCTTTGCGTTTCCAGCTTTGGGGTATCTGAGTGGCATCGCAGGATTCGCAGCGGCATCGTTCAGAGTCAGTTTGTGGGATTCACGCAGTGTTTCTCAATCTCTTCGACTCGCTTCATGGGGAGCGGTTCGAAGGGTTCCGAGCTCAGGTTCGAAGACTCAGAGCTCAAACTCCAAATGGCCCAACCCAAAGCCCTTTGGGCCCCAGTTCTCCTTGTTCTCGAGATCTGCAATTTGAAGGCTTGGGCCGAACGGCGGAGCGAAAAGACACACGCACACGTAGTGTGGCCTGTCATGCCATCTCGAGGGTGTAGGGCCAAAGACCCCGTGCCAAAGGCTATGGGACACAGGTTTGCAAGCATCGCCTAGAAATCCGGAAGCTTGGCAGCTATGATTACGATGCTCCAGGAAGCGCTCAGAAGGCGGTGTTCTAGCTTGCCGGGAACTTTCCCAAGTAAATTCACGGAAACTTGGGCACCCGAGCGCCAACTCGAAGGCACAAAGCCCCTGCTGGGTGCGCAATGTTGGGTCGGCACCTCGCTCTATCTGTCCCAAGATTCCGTGGGCTCTGATAGGGGTGCTCTTGCAACCTAACACGACAAAACAGGCTCGGATGGCCCTCATGGCTTCCAACCTCTTAGTTACTAGGTCATCCGGTCAGGCCTGCGATTCGCGTTGACCATTCGAACCCACTCCGGTCCATCATCCGTTTTCCACACAGAGGTCAAAGCGAAGAAGTATAGTCTTCTTGTTTCGGTATGGCAGCTATGACAACACCGTGACATTAAAACCCCGTAACAGATGACTGTAGCTGCAAGCACAATTCTTACCTTCCCTTCAGAACGCCTCACGATCATCCCCAGGCAGGCTCATGACAAACAGACTTGGATCCCCGGCGTCCTTCCAAAAGCGCCTTGCAAACGTCAGCAGCGCCACTGCAGGCCTTGGTCACTAGTTGTTGCTGCAAGTTGCTGTGTTTTTTATAGTGTGAGTTTTGTATTGTTGTTTGTTTCTGTTGCTGTTCTCCTCGCTCAGGGTTCGGGTTTTTGGGATCAGCTTGTTGGCTTTCATAGAACAGCCAAGTCCGGCGTTCTTGCTTTGCGTTACAAGTATCTGTCGTTGCCGTGCGCAGCCCACTCATCCACGTGTATAGTAGAACGACGCCGACGCCGACTCTGCCGGAGCGCTGGTACATTAGCTGCTCACGAGATTTATTCCGAAGCCTCGACCTGCAGCCTTTCGTTGCTCGAAGAGCATCTGAATGCTGTGTCTCTTTCTCGGCTTTGCTGCTTACGGCCTGTTGGGTCGCGCATATATTACCGTCGTATGCACAGGTGCCAGGTAGCTAAGTGTTGATTCTTGCGACTGCCCCCGTTGATCCGCTGCTAAGACTTCGTCTATCTGCTAAAGGGTAGATATGTAGCAGTGCCATAATTCTACCACCCTCATCTGCACATGAAGAGGCCTGCAAAGCCCAATGTGGGTATCGACTGCTAGAAGTGATGAGCACGAGGCGATGTGATGCGATGTGGTAGCCTCGCTGTGGCGTGCACAGAAGGTTGTGATATGCAACGGTCTTTTCGGTCTCTGCGCCGCACGGCCAGTGACTTCCCAGGCAAGCGATGCCTTCGTGGCACAATCACCCCTCCCCTGATCTTTCCCCGCCCATACGAACAAGCTGGGTGGCTACGTCATTCTGTACGGGGCAAACAGATTGCGCACAAGAAAGGTGTAAACTTCACAACTTCACAACGCGTGATGCCGATTGATCAAGTCGGTGCTCAATCCATTGGCCCGCGGCCATCTAGCAAATCTACCGCAATCGCGCAACTACCACTCATCCAGGAAGCTCCCTGTCTTTGGCAGGTATCGTCACTGCACAGGAGAACATCATCCAAGCCCGTCCGAAGAACGGCACCGCAAACATGCGGCAAACTAACCCATGAACCGCCTGAAGCCCCGAAGCAGCGGCACTCAGAACTGCGGGTCTTTGAGCTCCACTGCTGCACCCCGACGTCCCAAACTGGTCGCACGCCTTGGCTCAGGGCTGATAGGGTAGCAAGGATTTCGAGTAAAGGCCTTCTGGCAGGAACACCGGCGAGCACACAGTGACTCTTCGTATCTGCAAGCTGCTCCCAGCAGTCTGTGACGATGCTTTCTGCTGCCTCCATCTTTCCTGCCAGGAGTCAGGGTAGCTCGTGGTCCAAAATCTGGCATTTCATTGAACTCCCACCGAAGACCCTAAGACCGGCAAAGTATTACCAACAGCAGTATCACGAACAGCCAGCCACTGCGAACTGAGACAAGCTGGGGATGGATGTCGCCCAGGCCTTCCAGAAGCTCGCGCAGCCCCTGGCTAGACTCGCTTTCTAGACCGCTGCTCAGGGTATGTACTGATGGATAATGGCACCCGGTTCAGCGAGTGCACTGCCCAAACAGTCACTGCACTGCTTGTCAAATCTCAGCGCTCCCACGCAGCTTAAAGCCCCAAGCACTCGTCAAGTCAACATACAACTCCACTGGCCAATGATGTTATCCCACTTCTTGAGTAAAACTTGCGGCAAGACCCTCTTCTTCTCCGCAAATGACACCTGCGGACAGCAGCAACTCAAAAGATAACAAACAGTGAGAGCTTGGCACGACTGCATGAGCGACACATGCGTTACAAACACGGGCAAGCAAGCATTTAGCAAAACCAGTGCTCTTCACTCTGCAACTGTCGGACAGGAATGCTGAACGAGTGCTTTCGGGGCATTCCCATGTCCATCTCATCCATGCACAAGTCGCACAAGCCCACTCGCCCACCCACCCATCCCCTCCAAGCCATCCCTGCATCTACACATGCATCTATCTCTACACAAACACGTACTTTTACATACCATGCACATACATTTACATCTACACGTGATGCACGACCACACATACACATACAGATGCATAAGCACAAAAATACGCATACATACCCACGTAGACACACGGACATATAACATGCACATGTACATATGTTGACATACTGCTAGCTTCCGGAGCGTCGAACCGTCGTTTCCAAAGAGTCAAGACTTGGATTGGAGCATCTCTGTTCGTCCCTTTGTTAGCACTATACTACCCAAAGCTTCCTTGGTTTGTTGGCGTGGATTCGGGTGCCCGTCGGAGCTCTGTAGCACTCGAAACATCTGCGAGGCCTCGATGACATCTGACACCTCCATTCGCTCCTCTAGCACCTGACAGGATTCCACGATTTCAGGAAAAGAAACAAAGGGTGGAAGGAAGTGAGAGGAGCGGGATGCGAAAATAAGAGAGAGTGAGAGAGGGAGAAATCAACATAAATAAAAAGAGAGCGATCGAGATGCAACATGGAGCGCAATGAGCCCAAACTTGTCCAAACGGGCTTTCTAAGCGCAATGACATTCTAGGCAGCAGCCGCCGTCGATACCTCATCACTGGTAGCGAGTCGATCGACCAAGCCGCGCTCCTGCCGACGTGGGATTAGGAATGACTGCAACAGTAACAATATTTCCATAGAGCAAGCCAGTGGAAGACTTTTCTCTGCTATGTCCATGTTACCCAAGCTGAGGAAGGTGCAAAAGTGGGTGGGCTTTAGCATACATGCTACACCTTGCACCGCACATGCTCGAGCTCACAGCCCTTGGGCTTGTTCGGGTGTCATGCGACACCGGAACCCCAGAACTCCAGCTGCCCAAGGATACGGGTATGACGATTCATACAAGCTACTACGAAAAGCATGGAGTAGCTCTACAAACATTGGAACGACAATACCTTCTCACACTTCGGATCACAGCCGTCACAAATGTCAAAGCCATGGCATCCGGTGTGTACATTGGCTTTGAAGTTGAAGCGCTTCACCTCTTAGCTAGCTCAGCTGCTGATGTGATCCTCGTGTACCCTCCGGTCGTTGGAGGCTGAGGGCTTGGACAAATGTTCGGCTCGTGAATTCTAGGATTGAGTCGGCGTTCATCCTGCATCTGACTTCCGACATAGAGGCAATCCCTCAGCGTCAAGCTCCTGAATGCTCAGCTTTTGAACGCACTGCGCCAGTCTGCCCCAAACACGGAGCCAGCGTCTATAGCAGGATGCAAGACAGCAGCACAGAACTGATCATGAGTAACGAAATCATACTAGTAGTGCTGATAGCCGAATAATGGCGAGACTAACTACACCAGGACGTAAAAGTACGGTTGCACCGGGATGAGAACTCTGTTCATGCCTGCTCTATCTAGGGTCACGAAACTCTAAACTTCAGATCCGAAGCCTTGAGGACTCTAAGCCCTACACAATGACTTCTTAACCCTTGACCTGCAAAAGTCTGACTTCCTTTGGGGCTCCTTCCCCTCGGCACCAAGGAAGGCCTCTCCTGTGGCGACCTTCTGGCTAGGGGCTTCCGAGCATGGCGGTGTTGTAAGGTTAAGTCCCTGCTATGGCGGACACTATGGCATAGCTCTAGGATTTTGGTTTACGGGTGTTAAGTGCTCGGGCGTGCTGCTGGTTGAACCCGTCTGCAATATGCAATGGATGCTCAACCTCACTCGGTGACGCCTCTTCGCGAGGAGCACAGTTAATGGGCTTACATGGAGGACCAGTGCTGGTTGACTAGCCTGAGAGGTCTAAGGAGGAGGGTTGAAGGTTCACGGTCTTCCACTTTAGTTGGAGGAAGGCTTCGAATTTTGGGGTTTTGTTTCGGGTTTGCGGGACGGTCGGCGCTGGTGCTTGGCATGTGCGAGGCTTGCAGACCTTGAAACGGGCATAGCGTGCAATTTCCGATGCTTGGCTTGGCTGTTCGGGAGAGTCCCCAGCCTCATCCATATCCAGATGCGTCCGCTGCTTCAGAACCATCCCTTTGAAGGCGTCGTGGATTGTGTTGATCTCCTGCTTCAGAGTGACAAGCATTTCGACGTGGTCAACCATCACAGATCCGAAAGGACTGCAGCAACAGAGAGGCATGACATGAGATGTGCAACAAACTTAAGATACTCGGCAGCTGGTCCTGTTTCATCTTCTCGATGCCCTCTTCTGTCGGCTCTGACCTCGATTGCTGGACAGTTTCGGCTGGGCTGGGAACTGAAGTAGGACTTGATACCTGCACATTGCCTAGAAATTCAACGGAAAGCGGTGTACGAAAAGACTCCGGAGGCACTTGTCACTTGTACTGCCAAAGCTTGTCAAGTCATCACTCCTCCCTGCTGTACTTTGCCGCAGGCAGCTATTTGCTTGCTCTCGCTAGCGGGCACTAAATCAAGCACAGCTGCGGAAACCCACATGTTGCTGTACGCGGAACTGCAGGTCGAAAGATCCGATGTGAAAATTGACCCGCGCTAGCAAGGTGAGAGCCAAGAGGCAAAGGGTCTACGGTTCGCTTGTAGCGCCCACCAGTAAATTGAAGCCAATCCACCTCGTACCTGTCATGGGCAGAGCTAGTTGGCAGAGCTGGCTTGGCACAGGCTCTCAAGATGTGGCATACTGCTATAATGATGCTAATTCAACACTAGCTCATTCCGTTTCTTCGGTTCAGAGAGGACTTCGCCCGAAATGATGCCTCCGCAAAACCTTGTTGAAGTTGGGGAGGGCAGCCAGCACACCTCGGCTGCTGCAGTTTAGGTGTTTTCGTTCGGCACTCACACTCGGCGGAGTCAGGCGAGGTTTCGGGCAGCAACTACACAACACTGAGCTTGACAGATGGGTTCACAAGGTTTGCCACTCCAAGGCTGTAGGGTTTGAGGGTTAAGGCACTGAAGAGCAACGTCAGACCGGTGTGGAAAATGGATTTATCAGGAATTCTGACCCGCCTAACTTTCTGTGCTTGGTGTTGCTGTGACTTTTCACAATCACTGCAGGCAAACATACTTAAGAATGCGGACCCCTGCTAAAAGGTTAATCGCCCATGGGGAAGGGGCGGTTTACTCATCAGGGGCCTGCATTACGAGCGGCCGATAGATCCAACGAGCGAGAATGGCGTGGCAACGATGGTGTCGGCCTGAGCCGAGGGCGTGGGCAGGGTGTTTGGCCTCCTTGCTAGGCCTATATCGTCGTCAGCTCTCCGCTCCAACTAGCTTCGCAGGTGACCGCTGCTCGGGTGCGGGGCGAAGGCTTGGGTTTGCAGGGTTTCGGGTGGCGGAGCAGCCCAGCCCAATAAAGCGCTCAAGATGTTGCAACCCTGAACGCGGCCGACGAGGGCCGGCGAGAAGTGATTGTCTTCTATTTAGGACACCGCACGGCTTTCGAGGCTGAATTGGAACAACTGAGGCGGGTGCTGTGCAAGCCATCCTCGGCACTTCCCGGGATGAACCAAAGGACTGGCAAGACCAAAGACAATCCAAAGGCAAAGGCCCTCCAAAGGACCCGCGTGCAATGCATGAGCGGAAGTCACTAATCATTAACCACCTCAGGCCGGCTCCTATTCCAATCGAAACGGATCCGGGATAGCTACAGTGACAGGATTGGAGCATGCACATAGTCTCAACTTAGCTGCGGATCACATCTTGGCCGTGACAACGCTTTTGCTCCACACGATATTCTCAAGGAGCTATTGGTGAGGTGAGCGTCACAATTCTCGCTGGGTTCTTTCTGCAGACAGCTCCTCTGTGCACGTGCTTTTAGTCCAGCCGCTGCCAAGGAGCATATACCCGCCAGATGCTGCTACCTGCTGTGTTTCACGAAACAAGCAGAAACAAGTTAAAGCAAACAAGTACAGCAGGGGAAGGAAATCGAGGTGCAGAAATAAGCTGCGTGTGCGGATGTTGCATGATGTTGCATGCCAACTGCCGAATCCCGTGCGAAACGTCCGACAAGGCACTCTTAGCAACGTTTAAAAACTATATATTGGGAAGCCATGGGAATGCTTAAGACTGCCGCACTTTCCGGTGCAAGCCAACTTTCGGAGCACGGCTAAATGCAGGCACTTTTTGTGGGATGAAGGCAGGGTCGGGGGTGTTTTGGGTGCTTTTCGACGGTGCTTCGACAGAAGACTTTAAGCAAGCGGGCTGGGCTGGGCTGGGCTCGGCTGTGGGGTGGCTGTCTGCTGTAGGCTTCGGGCTGTGGGCTGGGTGGGGTTGGGGGCTGTGAGCTGTGAGCTGTTCCGAGCTGTTCCGAACCGTTCCGAACCGTTCCGAACCGTTCCGAACGTCCCGAACCGTCCCGAAACGTTCCGACCCGTTCCGAACCGTTCCGAACCGTTCCGAACCGTTCCGAACCGTTCCGAACCGTTCCGAACCGTTCCGAACCGTTCCGAACCGTCCCGAACCGTCCCGACCCGTCCCGACCCGTCCCGAACCCGAACCGTTCCGAACCGTTCCGAACCGTTCCGAACCGTTCCAAACCGTTCCGAATGTTCCGAGCCCGAGCCGTCCCGAACCGTTCCAAACCGTTCCGAACCGTTCCGAACCGTTCCGAACCGTTCCGAACCGTCCCGAACCGTTCCGAACCGTCCCGAACCGTTCCGAACCGTCCCGAACCGTCCCCAACGAACCGTTCCGAACCGTTCCGAACCGTTCCAAACCGTTCCGAACCACATTCCGAACCGTTCCTATAACCTTTCCGAGCCGCTCCGAACCGTTTCGAAGAGTTCCGAACCGTTCCGAAGCGGTTGGGGAACGGTCGGGACGGTTCGCAACGGTTCGGAACAGTTCGGAACGGTCCGGAACGGTCACGGTTCAGAATAGTGCGGAACGGTTCGGAACAGTCCGGAACGGTCCGGAACGGTTCGGGACGGTTCGGCAGAGTCCGGAACGGTTCGGGACGGTTCGTTGGGGACGGTTCGGGACGGTTCGGAACGGTTCGGAACGGTTCGGAACGGTTCGGGACGGTTCGGAATGGTTCGGAACTGTTCCCAACTGTTCGGGACGGTTTGGAACGGTTCGGGACGGCTCGGGCTCGGAACATTCGGAATGGTGGTAAACGGTTCGGAACGGCTCGGGTCAGAACGTCTCGGACCGCTCGGATGTCTTGGAGCAGGTTCACAGCAACTCCACCTGACAGTTAAACCCTTACCCCTGAGAATGCTTAAGACTGGATTTGCGTCGCATATTACCGCATATTCGATTCTCATTGCACCCCATCAATGGCCGTGGAGGGCTAACCTCCTTAAAGTTGTGCTAAGCATTCCCAGGGCTTCCCAAACTCTATATATATATATATATATATATATATAGTGGCTAGTTAGTCGAGTTTTCCCGGAATCATTGTCTGCTCATCTTCCGCCTTTGAGCGCGCCAGGTGCTGTTGAAAACTAAGTCGGCTGTTCCACGTCGGACAGGAACATGCAGCAAAGCAGCAAACGGTTCACAAGTTGCGACCTTCAGATCAAAAAGGAAAGCCCTGAGCGGGCTGCTACTCTGCTACTGTGATACTCCTACGCTCATCTGAAGCTTCGAACTGTCGGTGGAACCTCCGTCCACTGTTCCCTACGTGAAGCCCTGGCCCCAAAGTCAAGAGCCTTGTCAACACAGGCAGTGAGCTTCAGCCTGGCATGGACTTTGCCAAAGGCTCCACTCAGGCTTGGACTTCCCCTAAACCCTTTTTTCCACAGGCTTGATTAGTGCTCGCCCGACCAGAATCCCCAAGCACATCGCCTAAACCCTAAACTCTGTCGGCTGCGTCGGCTTTGACTTGGGCTTTGCTTCTCTTGAGTTTGGGGTGGGGGTGGCGAGGCGGTTAGCTATGTCATGTCACATCTGTTCTTGCCGGAAACATTGGCGTGCGATCAGATGTGCGGCTTTTCAAGTGGAAAGCCAACTTTGATCCCAGATCGAGTGCACCTCTCCTACTCGACTAGACTCTCGGATAAGCCTTCAATGAGGATCCTCTATAAGAATTATACCAATCCAACGCACTCTGTCACAATCTGGAAGCTTGTCAGGCCGGCCCGCGCTGACGCAGGCGCATGAGCCTGATCTCTGTTCCGGGTCGCATCCGATCCACCAATGGAGGAGATTCAGGAGGGATTGCTACGGATAGTCAGAAACACACTGGGAGGCGAGGGTCTGCGCTGAGGCGAATCCATAGTCGATGACGGCACCACCCGGCGAAGTTATGCGCACCACCGCCTGCAAGAAGCGAATAGCTGCGGTGTTAATATGTGTGCATCTCCCCAACATCGCTAAAACAGATCGGCCTCGTCATGCTCGGTCGCGCAGTGTAAGATGAACGAGACTGTATCCTGGAAGTCCTTCACCACATGGGCTCGTGGTTGAAGCCACTGGTTCCCAACATTCTTACGAAACACTGGGCCGGAATATTTGCAAGTGACTTGGCTGACCTGTATCCTGGTACACTTCTCGATAGTTGTGCAGCTTCTGTATGCTTGTCAATAATAGAGATTGGACGCACATGTTTTGTTTCTGCCTTCGACTCTTCTTAGAACATCGGCGGCAGAAGCCTTATGCTCATTCTCTTAGCAAGTCGCTATAGCGACCTTCTTCGAATATGTTTCTTCTCTCACATGTTTACCAAAGCTGTCTTCGTTTGTTGGCTGCCTTCTATCATGCTATAAATAAGCGTGCGTGACGGATACATCAAGGCACTCTGCACCTCCAAACGCTTCTTCATGTTCTTGCTGCCAGGGACTCCTTCGCGGATCGCTGATGAAGCGTGCATTGCATGGAACTTTGCGCACGTCAAGAGCTTGGGGAGAAAGTAGCATCACCAACAAACGAAAGCCGATGAAAATCATCTGCCCCCTTATACAATCGCTAACGGATCCTGGAGACCCGGACCCAAAGCTTTACTGAAGAAACAGGTACCCCTGACTTAAAACACCACACTTGTTGACAAACCTCCTACCATGGCTGCAAACATCGTCGCAACCACCAGCCCCGAGCAGCAAGCATTGTGGTCAGAAGGTTAAGAGGATAAGAGGGGCAGGACTAGATAGTGCACGGCCAGCGGATCGCACTCTCATGGCAGCAGAGAGAAGTCGCAACAAACAGCAAAGGGGTTTGGACACAGTCAGAACACACACACACACAGACAAATTATCTCCATCATCTTTTTCCTTTGTCAAACTTCAGGAGCCTCTGGCGATGCTAACTACGTGGCAGGCCATCCTGGGCCGACCTGTTGATTGAGAGTGTTGCGGAGACTTTCGATGCGATGAACTGGAGTTCAAAGCTAGAAGCCATGCACTCAGTCTATTCGCACCCAAAGACCAGCCCTGAGCTGTTGTGGAGAAGCATCGGGCCTGCATCTAGGCTGCCAGAGGAGAAATCGAAGACAAACGTGCGAGGTCGGAGACGTGCCTGTCAGTCAGGTGTGCCAGGGTCTGCTTTGCTAGGTTAAGCTATGCGCTGTGTGCAGGGCCATATGAGTTTTGCCACCTCCCACAGGGTCGTAAACAACTCGCGCACTTGGTGCCAATGTTTCTTTCACCCGAGTCCTTGAATTACCCAAATTGCCAAAGCGGTTGGTTTCCTCACCTCGCTTTAGGCTCCGATCTCAGCCGTAAAGTAGCTCACGAGCCTTGCTGAGGCCCTTTACAACTCTGCTACTACCATTACTAGTTAATACTATACTCTTCCTACTGGTACACGATTACGACGACTTCTGCAACATCCACTGCGCGACTCATCATCACGGTCCCAATGTATCGCAAGTGTGGCAGCGCTGTGGATTGTCGGGGAGGATCACCCCTCCCAGGCGCAGAGGGCGAGAACACTGAAGACTGTGCCGAAGTCCACAATGAAGGCTAAAACGATATGAGACTCTTATATAACACCTCCGTCGCCAATTGAACGCGATGCCCGTATGGCGCCTGAATGGCTGCTGCGTCCTCGCCTGCCTGATGCAGCGGCAGCGACGGTCAAACCGAAGGGGCAAGAACCAGCACATTAAAAAGCGCGCGATGGCAAGCCGGCCGACGAAAGCAGCTTCGACTGCGTCGCCGAATGACACGATGGATGCACGAGAGCAGAGATGAGATAGAAAATCTCGGTATGTGTATATAAATATAGAAACAACTTGTGTATAAATGTGTGTGTACATAATTGTACATATAAATAATATCACAAACGTATTGCTATTATTTTTAATACTAGTATTCTATTCTTATCTTTTGTCTTTCATGTTTATAGTATCATTATTTGCATTTTTCCGCACATTTCTGTGTGGGGTTCTTGCTTCTTGAGGCTCTCCCGTCTTCTCTCCTCCTCAATCACCACTCACTCACGCACTCACCACTCATCATCCACTCATCATTATCATCACTCACACTCACTCACCACTCATCATCACTCACTCACCGCATCACGCACTCACCACTCACTCCCGGAAGACTGTAAACGCCACTAAACGCCCTCTCCAGAGCATTCTGTTGGATGCCGCGCGCTCTTCGGGGCGAGCAGCCTCGGGAAGACTGTAAACTTCACTGTAAACGCGACTAAACACCGTCTCCAGAGCGGTGTTGGATAGGAGTGAGCTGAGGTTGATTCTGTGATGGCGATGGCATGTCTTGAGCTTTGTTGTGAATGTTGTTCTACCGCAGCCTGCGTTGGAAGCAACTGAAGAGTTAGATTGCACACCTCGTATACCCGCCTATAGTGCCATGGAACCTCATCCTGAAGATGCATCTACGTCCACAGTGCCAAGTCCAGATGTCATGGTCGACCCACCGCAACAGGGTGCTGGCGAAGATATGGTTGAAGAGGGAATCGTCGCGAATGGAAATGCGCACCCTCCTCCGGTGAGTTATGAGGTCCTTGTCCATACTTTTCAAGGTCGAATGCGGCATCAGCTCCGTGAATTGATGCGTACCATGCAAGCTTGGAGCAACGAGCATCAACAGATCGTGCGACTGTTGCACAGGATCCAAGAAACTATGGATCCAGAATTTCAACCAGGATTGCTGTTACACAGTTTCCGTGCACCCCTCGTGCACCTTAGAGTCACTAGCTAGCACGACAACGCAGGCTCGGCAACCGCTACACAAGGCAAACATGGAGTATAGCAATCACTCATGGTCTCACCTCGCACAAGTCGGATTGAGAAGCGCTGCAGATAAACTCTCTCTGTCGATGTGCCGCGGGAGTCGACGCAAACTTCTCCAGCTCCAGCGATTAAAAAATGTCGCTGCCGCCCCTGCTATGCTTTGCCACTGCCACTCCGACACCTACACGCTGCTCAGCTCGCACTCACTCACTCACTCGCGTACTCCTTCACTCACTCACTCGTCTTCACTTGTAGCATCTTTGCCAAAAGATGAAATACACATGTGAGTAATCCGGTCCTTTCACGATCATGCTTATTACTGTTGATATCATTGCTACCATATTACCACAATTTATAACATTTTACTACTATTGTTAGTATATTGTTTTCATTAGTCTTACTAGCAAGAAGAGCATTACTAGTAATGTTAATATTACTGTTATCTTATTCAATATGAGTATCACAATTGTTCGTAGCATCATAACTGTTATAAGTATAGTATAACCACATATAAATGATATGTACATAAGAGAGTCACTGTAACTGCAAAATTACAGTTGCTTTCTTGTGGAGAGATGGCAGGCAATCGGGCTTGTGTCAACATGCCTCCTCTGAAGCAAAGCCAAGCTACTGCTCTGCACTGCTGAGGACAAGGGAGAGCTCGGTTGGGGTGCTGCACGCAAACCCTGAGGACCAACCTTGAAGCTAACCTAAGCGAACTGCCAGCTGCTGTCCAAGAGGCTTAGAGGCTAAAGGTTCAAAACGCTACTTGGTCTTCTTCTTGACTGTATTTAACTGATTATATAGTGGCTCTTCGGCCCTTAACTCAAACACCCCAGGCATGGCCTAAACTGCAACCTCCGCTGCCTTCAAGGCTTCCTTCACATCCTCGCTCTGCTTCTTCACGGCCTCCTTTAGCAGCTGCTGCTCCTGGCCGCAGGCTCGCCAACCTTCCCAGCAGCCCAGTCCACAACTAGGTCCAACCCTGCCACTTGCGCCACAAAGACCCACCATATGGACATATACCACATGTACTTACATACCTACATATGCACATAGCCTAAACCCTAAGGCCTTCTACCCTGGCCCTAAACCCTAAACCCCTAGACCCCTTAAACCCAGTACCCCGACCGCGGCCTTCTTCTCAGCTTGTGCCGCCGCCTCCCGGGGTGCTGCGAGGGGGAGTCGCCGAAACTGACACCCATTTTTTAAAGTCGCAACATGGGAGTTTCCGAAAATAGGGGACCCTAATATAGTACCCTAAATAGTAGGCCCTAAAATAAGGACTATAATGACTATAACATAGAAACAGGAGAAGTGCTCAAGCAGTACATAATAGAAAGAAAGTGCCCTATGATTCAAAAGATTCTGTAGTAATATTGAAGCCTACACGCCTCAAGCCTCGAAGCCTCTGACTAAACCAGGAATTCGTGGCTCCCATGGTCACCACACTCCGACCTCTAGTTTCAGGTTGCTGCGCGCAAGTGCCTATGCAGGCATACGCTTTCGTTGTGTTGGCCTTAACCCATAGACACAATGAACCGTCATCACTCCATCCACTGCCTCTGACCACCACGGCTATGACAAATGCGAGGACTGTTCGCGTGATGCCAAGAAGAATGCAAGCTTTTTGTTACGACTGTTTGCGTGTTTGCTTATTCACTGCAGCGTTGCACGCACCATTCGGACTGCGCACCCCTTCCCCACAAAATGGTTGAAGCTGCACAAGCAACAAGCAGCATCATCAACATCACCACAACCGGGATGGCAAAGGCCAAGTTGATGACTATGACACCGCGCTCATCGTGAAGACTACAATGACGATGAACTATGAGACGTTCACACTGGCAGCATGGATTTCTGCCTTCAAGCAGTGTTGCGTCATTGAAATTTGAAAAGTTGGTGGGGTGA